CTAAATGTTTTTAGTTTTAATGGGTATCCTTTTTGACTCTAAATAAGGAAGATAACATTCAGATAGACACTTGTACACGGCTTCATAACCCTGATTACATGACCATTCATGGTTTCTATTATTATGCCTTCCTGTACATGGTTGTTTTTTATGGGTATAGTCCTTCACTGTTATAGTGTAAAACCATTTCATAAGTCCATGACGATGTCAAATTTGTTTTGACTTCTGACAATTTTTTTTCCAGGTTGATCTTTGTCTTGAAGCTGCAAGTTTAGCCCTGAAAGAAATGTCAGTCTCAGAATAAGGTTCTTCAACAGGCAAGTTTGGGACAACTTCTATTGCGTGGGTTAACTAGACATTGGACAAGATTTTGTTGAAAGACGTGCTTTTTTTTGCAGTATCTGCCTGTGATTGACATGTTTAACCTTTTGCAGTCATTCTTTGCACCAGTGGTTTAATTCCGTGGCTGCTATGGAAAAGAGCTGAAATGCTAGAGCACAAGGATGTAGCGCCAAATAGTCAGCATTCCTCTCCTGTTTCCACCAGTGATAGGCAGGCAGCATCAATACTTCTTCATGGTGGTATCATTATCTCACCAAGTTCTGCAAGGTACAAATAATATCATCTGTATTGGCATCCTTACACGTTATGTCCGAACCCCACCTGCCACGGCCGGACTTGGTTGGACCCTCAATCATTTTACTCCATATGTAGTCTGTATTGGAATCTCTAAAAAGGCATATTTAGGAACGGAGGCACCAAAAATTAGTGCTACGAAGTGTATGTGGTAATATAGGTGCTCAATTAATTGTCTTACAAGTTAAGTGCTCCACCTCTCAAACCTCCGTTCATTCATCTCCGTTGGATCATCACACCGAGTCGTAGTATTTGCATACCTAGCTAGCTAATTTTCCTTAGTTGCTTTGTATAGCTAGATTCAGCTCACTGGCAGCGCGGCTTCCTATGCCTTGTTTTATTTCTGACAAGTGCATATATTTACCTCCCGGGCGTCGTTTCTTCAAAAATGCATGTGGATGGAGCAACTACCGATGTGCATACAAGCTAAGCTAATAATTCAACCTGACAGCCCATGTTATGTACTTTAGTTAATTAGCTCCGTCCAACATTGCTGTCTGCTAGCGTTCAAGTGCACTAGATTATGTATGACGAGATGTGAGCTTTTCTTTTCCGGCACATTGTCTCGAGCTGGTCCCTTGCAGCTACGAGAACTAAGAGAAAGATGCTCCTTGAGAAAGATACTTGAAATACGAGCACACAGAGTAAACTATTTGGCTAGCTAGCATACAATTTTGCGCAGATCTAGAGAAAGTTTGCATGTGGTATCTGAAAATAGGTCCGTAAACATGACCTAGGGGTCATGATACATCTACCAGCTGTCAAGATTCCCAAAGGCCATAGGTTATAGGGGATGAAAATGTGAGAAAGCTTTTATGATGTGCCATAACATGTTCGTAACCATGACCAGAGGAGGGTCATGAGTCGGATAAATTGTCTATATATGTAGTATAAACCTGTACACTTTGGCTATATGACCCACATAATTGACATGCATATTGTTGTTCACAAATTGCAGTATCTTGTTCAGTTTATTGCTTTGTAGAATATTTTCTCTTTATGAAAGGAAGAAAGGAAAGGCTAGGGTTTCCTTAAATTTGCCCTGGCTTGAAACATAAACCACGTGCACACTGTTCTCTTACATGCTAGGTACCTTAATCCTATGTGGCTTTTCTTTTCTTGGCTAAGTTTGAGATCCAGTAGCTAATGTTGCTTTTCCCTCTCCAGGATGCTGCCAATAATGTATGCTGAATATTTTGTCAAGACCTCCGATGGTTCAATATTTGACTTCAAACTCCGTCATGCATTTGATGCCTCGTGAATTTGTAATGTAAGTTGTTGATTTTGTACTCTTGTTTATCTGAATTGTGGTTCTCATGGATGACTCTGCAAAACATGAGTTGGGCTACGTTTATACTGCATCGGTTTATATAAAGTTTGTGTTCAAAGTTTCAGTTTACTCCGTTTGCTCGTTCAGTTATATATAACCCATAAATAAAGCTCTCCTTTTGTTGCAAACTGCATGTGGTGGGCACGTGGATGGATCAATCTGAAAGTTAATTAGCTCCATCCAAGGCAGCTGTCTGCTACTGTTATCACTCCGTTCAATGGCTCTCAATCTCACTCCTCACTCGCTCCCATCTGTGTCTTCCACCCAGCTGTGCCGTGGCCTTTTGCCTTGGCCGCATAGAGCACCTGCCTGCCACTACACCCAACTACTCTGCGTCTGACCGCTAGTGTAGCTGCTGCGTCATGGACGCGACGCGCTAGTGGAAGATCTGAGTTGCTGCTTGCGGAGCCAACTCGCCGGAGGAGTTCAACTGCTGCTCCCTACGGCAGCACGCCGGAGGAGCTGAGCTGCTCCTCCTGGAGGCAACACCACGGAGGAGGATCTGAGCTTCCGCTCCTAGAAGATACACGTCTTCTCTGGCGCTGCTGTCACGCTGACCCCCACGTCTTCTCCGCTTTCTGTGGTGTCCATCAATCTCAGAGGTTGGTTAGGCAGTTCAAGTATGATTTATCTCTCTTTACACCTAGCTAACTAAGCTTCCTGCTTGAATTTGACATTACCTTGTTATTGCAGAAAAATTAACGAGCAACAATGGCGATGGTGCTGGATGCATTTGCGTCCTACCTGGTGGACATGCTCACGCAGGTAGCAACAGATGAGGTGAAGACGATGTTGGGCGTCTCCGGGGAGATCGACAAGATGGGAGACAAGCTTCGGGACCTCAAAAACTTCCTGGCCGATGCCGATAGGAGGAACATTACTGACGAGACTGTTCAAGAGTGGGTGGGGCAGCTCAAGCGTGCCATGTATGAAGCTACTGACATCCTTGACCTCTGCCATCTCAAGGCCATGGAGCGTGGACCATCCTCGGTAAACGCAGGGTGTTTCAATCCCTTACTCTTCTGCATGAGGAACCCCTTCCATGCTCGTGAGATCGGCACCCGCATCAAGGCGCTCAATCATAGGCTTGACGACATTAAGGAACGCAGCTCTCCTTTCAACTTCATCAATCTTGGGTCCTATGGGTATCATAGCAGCAATACCCATGCCTCTCGCCATGGTAATCCAAGCCGGGAGACGGTAGGGGACTTTGACCGGTCGGCTATTGTTGGAGACAAGATTGAAGAAGACACAAGAGCACTAGTGGCCCAGATCATGCAGACGGGAAAGGATGTCAACAATGGCATCAAGGTGGTTGCTATCGTAGGTGTTGGTGGTATCGGCAAGACCACCCTCGCCCAGAAGGTCTTCAATGACGAGGCGATCCAAGGTGAATTCAGCAAAAGGATATGGTTGAGCGTCAACCAAAACTTCAGTGATGTTGATCTGCTGAGAAGGGCCATCATCGAAGTCGGAGGAGATTCCCAACCACCTGAAAGTTCAAAGACCAGCCTTCACGAAACCCTCAAGAACACATTGATTGACCAAAAGACCTTTCTTGTAATGGATGATGTATGGAACCACAGATCATGGGATGACGTGCTAAAATTGCCCTTAGTCAATGCTGCTGCTTCAGGCAGCCGAGTCCTCGTCACTACCAGAGATGAAGGTGTTGCCCGAGGGGTGAAAGCTATCTGGCCGTACCACTATGTCGACACATTAGCGCCGGAAGATGCTTGGTCATTGCTCAAGAAGCAGGTTTGTTCCTAATTAAATACTATTCTTTCAGTGAAGTGAATATCTATCTCCATCTATGTATTAACAATACTATTTAGGTAATTAAGAGAAATGTAGGATGCTCCCAAATTAATGAGCCATTAATTACATGTAATTTAGTCACTTATATGTACTATCATGGATGTAAGGGGTTGTCAAATTTGTAAGGCTAAGATTACTTTGCAAGTGCCAACAAAGCATGATGCTAAAGAAGGAAATATGCCACATCACTAATTGAGACACATTCAAAGACACCTAAATTGTGTTTATTGAAGCTTGAGGAATAAATAGAAATTTGGATAATTATATATGTATCATTTCTACCAGTGAAGAGACATGGGTCATATATTCATGTAGTGAGTAACCTTTTGTGAATATCCAGTCTCGTATTCCAACATATGTCATAGGACATAATATAAATGAAAAGTTATTTTAAGACAGAAAAATAACAATTTCGGTAAACCCCTGCCAATACAACAAAAGAATATAACACGAAAATAACTAGACTAGAAGTTGGCTTTGCTAGAGAATTTGCACACATATTTAGTATTTAATGTTTGGCATAGTATTATGCATTTTAGACGCTCGAGAGATAAGATAATTTCATGTTACCATAAAATCTGAAAAAGAATGAAACAATACGTGATTTCCGCTAAATCTGGAGTTACTTCCTATAAAAGTGATGAGAGAGTAGTGGTAAGGTATATTCTTCATGCAGTATGTTCCATCTTGTAAAAAGAAAAGGAAAGAAAAAATGTTTTCTAGGCATAAAGTATGTATGTTATATGCGCAAATCTTTGGTATGTAGATAAATAACATTTCCTTTTGGCATGTAGTTTCTATATTGGTTTACACAGTCAATCATACCTTGATAAATTGAGTAATCTGAAAAACCCTATATTAGTTTACAGAGTAAGTGAAACTGAGTGCCTTATCGGTCCCTTGTACTGTATGTTTGCAGGTATGCTCAAGTGAGATGGATGAAGACCACATCAATACGCTAAAGGATATCGGTCTGAAAATTATACAAAAATGTGGTTGTTTACCAATTGCTGTGAAAGTGATGGGAGGACTCTTGCGTGAAAGAGAGGGGACACGTCGTGACTGGCAGCAGGTTTTGGATGATTCTAAATGGTCAACAACTAAAATGCCCCATGAGCTCAGCCACACCGTATACTTAAGCTATGAATATATGCCCGCTTACCTGAAGCAATGTTTTCTGTACTAGTCTCTTCTTCCTAAAAGTAGAATTTTTGCTATGGATGAAGTTGTTTCAATGTGGATTAGTGAAGGATTTATTCATGGAAATTCTAATGATTTAGAAGAATTGGGTGAAAAATACTACAAGGAGTTGGTATCTAGGAACTTGATAGAGCCAGATAAATCATATGCTAAAATATGGGTTTGCAGCATGCATGATGTTGTTCGCTCATTTGCTCAGTATATGACTAAAGATGAAGCACTCGTGGCTCAAGATGGAGATAATGATATTCTTGCGAAACTTAGTTCACAAGAATTTCTTCGGTTGTCCATAGAAACTGACCAATCACAATCAGGTGAACTTGATTGGAAATCTCTACAGGCGCAGCAATACTTGAGAACATTGATCTCAACTGTCCAGATTAAGATGAAGCCTGGTGATTCATTGATTACTTTTTATAGTTTGCGTACTTTGCATATAGAATCTGCAGATATGGCTGTATTGGTTGAATCATTGAATCAGATGAAACACCTGAGGTATCTAACACTAATTAATGTTGGTATATCTGTACTTCCAGAGAGCATTGGCAAGATGAAACTTTTACAATTCCTTGACCTTTCTGGATGTACAGAATTGGTGAATCCTCCTGATAGCATTGTTAAGCTTGGCCAGTTGAGGTTACTTGCACTTTCCCAAGCAAGTACGGTACCTAGAGGGATTAGTGGTCTGACAAATATGAGGAGACTACGTATGTTTCGAGCCCACATGGATGGTGATTGGTGCAGTTTGAATGAGTTGGGTCCTCTTTCACAGCTCAGAGTTCTTGGATTAACTCAATTAGAGAATGTATCAGTTGCCTCGTTTGCTGCTAATGCTAGGCTCAGCGAGAAGATGTATCTTACCTGGCTACTCCTTTACTGCACCAGTAAACTGGGGGATGATGGGTTGGTCAAAGAGAAGGAAGGTGTCTCTAAGGAAGAGCAACAACGAATTGAGAAGGTTTTTGATAAGCTCTGCCCTCCACCTGGTGTAGAATATCTTCAAATCCATGGGTACTTTGGCCGGCAACTCCCAAGCTGGATGATGTCCACATCAATGGTGCCCCTCAACAACTTGAAGACTATATTGTTTGATGATCTGGCCTGTTGCACACAACTTCCCAATGGGTTGTGCAAGCTCCCCAGTCTGGAGGTTCTACAGATCTCTCGTGCTCCATGCGTCAAACATGTGGGGACTGGATTCGTGCTGGCGGCAGCAACTTCATTTCTGAGGTTAAACGAATTGAAGTTGTTCGACATGGTGGAATGGCAGGAGTGGGAGTGGGAGGAGCAAGTACAAGCCATGCGCCGTTTGGAGAAACTTGTGCTCAGTAAATGCAGACTGAGGCATGTTCCTCCAGGCCTTGCCTCCAATGCAACCTCTTTGAAAATATTATTTCTAGAACATGTCGAGCAGCTCAGCTACATTGAGAGCTTTCCTTCTGTTGTTGACCTTACAGTAGATGGCTGCCCAGACCTGGAGAGGATCACCAATCTCCCCATTCTGCAGAAGCTTAACATTTGGAACTGCCCAAAGTTGAAGGTGCTGGAGCGTATCGCTTCACTTGAGAGGTTGGTCCTGGAGGATTACACCATGGAAAAACTCCCAGAATACATGCGAGACATAAAGCCAAGGCATTTGCAGTTATTCTGCAGGGTATGGCTGCTCTCTTTGGTAGCCGCGGGACAAGCTGGCACTGAGTGGGACAAGTTCAGCCAAGTGGAGCATGTCAAGGCATATGCACGTGACGGAGGCAACCAAAGAAAATGGTATGTTTTGTACACGAGAGGAGATGACTACAAGTTGGATTCAAATATTTGCAGCTCTACCATATTTGAAGGTACAGAAAATAAAACATACGTGATGATCTGATTTTGCCAGTTTACAATTCTTTTGATTTTTTCTCCTGCTTTTCGTCCATATGTATTGCATGATGACCGGATATATTATGTACCTTCCTAGTGCATATTGCTAAGTATTTGTCTTCTTGTTCTTCTAGGTTTTCTTGATCATGTAACCAGTTTTTATTTCTATTTCCATGCAGAAACCTTATCATCTTCTATGGTGGATGCACAAGGATTTGAGTCTCTGTACAGAATGAGAAGAAGCACCTTCAGTTATATCTGCAGCTTGGTGAGGATCCCATTTTTTGAAGATATGATGACAAGGGGTCACACCTTTGTTGACGGGAAGGTGATGTCTTTGCAAGATGGAGTAGCCATTGCTCTGAGTGTACTGAACTCTGGTGAGCCATCACAGATCGTAGGATCCTCTCTTGGTGTCAGCGAGTCAACTGTCTCGCTGGTAACTCAAAGGTTTGTTGAGGCTATGTGGGAGCGAGCATATTACCACATCAGTTGGGCAGATGCTGAAATGGAAAAGATCAAGCGCAAGTTTGACAAGATTCACGGCCTGCCAAACTGCTGTGGTGTTGTACATACAACCCACATCACGTTTGGATCACAAAACCATGAACCTGGTGATGAGCAGAATGACGATAAGCTTATGCTAGTCATTGATCCAGATATGAAATTCACTGGCACTCACTTTGGATCACAAAACCAGTTGAGCGTCTTGCATGATTCTTGGCTCTTTAAGTCCTGCCAGGAGGGTACTCTGCTGAATGGCAGCAAGCTCAAGTTATCAGATGGCTTATATGTTGGGGAATACATCATTGGTGATGCAGGATACCCTCTTCTCCCCTGGCTTCTCACACCTTATCACCTGGAAGACAAGGACCTCCTCTCTGCAGATGTTCCTCCTTATCAAGCGGAGTTCAACAGGAGACACTCTTTAGCATCAACCCTCATGCTAGCTGCGTTGGCGAGGTTGAAAGACAATTGGAAGATCCTGGACAGAGCTGTCAGTTCATTCCCAGTTATGGAAACAATCGATGTGTGTTGCATCTTGCATAATATAGTGATAGAGATGGAGGAGGTAGATGAGGAGGAAGTTGCGGGCATGGAGGAGGAGAATTACATCGAGCAAGTGCGGCAGGTAGCAGATGAGGATGCTGTCAGGGTGAGGGATATACTGTCCCAGCACTTGACCGGATCTGGAGGTAAATTGACACAACGCTTGATGTGTTTGTTTGAGCGCTAGCTTTGTCTATTTTTATTTTTATTCTGTAATTCACATGTATTAATTAGATGTTTCTTATGCTTGCTTAGTCCATACAACGGCTGTGGAGGAGAAAAAAGAAGCTGCAGTAGTAGTTGCATCGGGTCCAGGAGTTGAAAACAAGGAACAAACATCAGACTGAGGAAAGGAGAACGCGCATGATAATGGATCCAAAGGCTGAAGTGATGCTGCAGCAAAAGTGCACCAAATTATGTGTCATTGGCATGTGTATTTGTGATTTATTTCTTTGAGTTGATTTGTGTAACCTGAAGAATCTGCAAACAGAATGGAAGGGACACAGGTGTTTGGTCATGGTTGATTTAGTTGTAGCAGCTGTTTGGATAAGTCATGGTAGCTATTGTGTTGGTTGCTATACTCTGCTCTGCTTGGAGAAAAGAAGAGCGTAACAGAGTGGGGAGAGAGTATACTCTGCTTGGAATTCAGAATTGTGTACCTTGGCAAGTGGGTATAGTACAGCAATTCAGAAATGTGCACGACGGCTAAAGTGAAGCGATGCTGCAAAAACATGAATTAAAAGTTGGACTGACAATTTGTTTTCGCTGCCATATATGTGAGTGTGGCCAAGACAATTGCTTGTGTATCTTACATATCTTCGACAGTAAGCTTTTGTGATTGAGAAAACAATTTATTAATGATGTAGATTCATCGAGATAGGGTGTTTGTGATTTGTATGATTTCAGTTGCTTTTCTGTAACCTGAAGCTTTTATGGGTTGAGTAAACAATACTATAGCTGTATGAGGATAGGACTATTTGTGATGTCTATCCTTGAGTTGGCTGCTGTAACCTCAAGGAAAGATTTGCAAACATGCATGATCTGTATCATACAAGTCATATGGTTTTGACAGGTGCCGTGTGTTCAGGATATGTCATGGTAATGTGGCTGTGACAGTTCAAATGACCAACGTGATTGCCATGGAGGAGTAGGCTCAGGAAGAGAATTAGCAGATGAGAAGGGCGTCGGGGCTTGTCGGCCTGCAGATTGTTCAAGCCACGAGCTGGAGGTAAGTTGGCTCAAGTGCTCCTTCCTACATTTTGATTCGTTCCGATTGTCCGAGCCAGATTATATATGTACCTCCATGTAGGTCTGTTGAAAATGACCTTTCATGTATGTGAAAAGCATGTTTTGTTGCGGTGGAGAAACCGACTAATAATGTCGCTGCATGCTTATATCCTTAGTTGCTGTAAAACTGAAGATTATTAGTATCCTTGGTATGCTGCTGTAAACTGAAGATTCAGCAAACATATATAACGGCAGCGAGTCCTGTATGTTTATGATAGGTGTTTTGGCACTATTGGACAGTAGCAGCTGTCAGCGTTTAGCGCATTATGGATAAGTCATCTTAATGTGTCCAATATTGCTATTTTTGTAAGAACAAAGTAGGCAGTACATCTAGAGTGACCGTGAAAGTTGAGATGATGAAGGTGCGCTGCATGCTGCATAACAGAGTGATTGCAGAGGAGCTCGCGGGGCATTTTTAGCGACGTCGGCGGCGGCGAAGCACACATAGTCAGTCGCCATTTACCCTTTCCACCGACGATTATTAAATTCTTCTTTACATATTTTGCCCTAAATTACATGCAAAAATTACTTTTTATTGATTTTGGTGGCACTGTGTCGATTGTACCGATTGCCCACAACAGAATTATTTTGTTATCTTGTTTCTTATTATATCGACGCAAAAGAGTAGGGCAGTGCTCTAAAACTGCAGACGCTAGTGACTTCCTTGCACCCGCCATTGATCAATTCTTGCCGACAGATGGTCTTGCATGAATAATACTCCGAGGTAATAAACTAGACCTAGCTTGAAGGTCACAGGGAAATTTCACTGCATCTCCCACCATCTATGTGCCTTGCCTAATTACTCCCTCTGTCTCATAATGTAAGACATTTTTTGACACTACAACAGATGCCAACCTAATTATGATGTAAATTGTTATGTATTCAAACAAGGTGATGTTACTTCTATGTAGAGTAATAAACTAACTAGACGTATCTAATCTCAAGGAAAGTACCCTGCATCTCTTGTTAGAGTTGTGTCGAATATAGTGTACAAGGTAGGTTACAGTTGGACTTGTAGTTGTATTATGTTTACATAGGATATGGAGTCGTGTCCTAGTAGGACACTTGTATCCTAGGCCTCTCTTATATAGCGAGGGTAGACACACGATGTAACCTATGCCAACATAATAGCACCGGAACGCAGGGGAAGCCGACGACATGTGCCGGTGTCCAGGGTGACCGGGTGCGGTATTGTAGCGGTGTCATGGGGAGGAGCGCCCATAGTCAGGCCCCGGGGATGTAGCCATATCGGTGAACCTCGTTAACAAATCTCGGTGTCGTGCCTCGTGTGATTGCTTGGTCCTCGGATGATCGAGGGTATGCCTCGGATTTATTCTAACATCTCTCATCAGCTAGTTGCCCACCTAATTATGACGTAAATGTTTATGTATTCAAACAAGACTTGCAAGCTAGACGAGCGAAAGTCATTCTAGTTAACAAGGCAGCAGTTGCATCAAATATTAATAGATTTGTCATGTAGCCTAAGAGCTAGCTAGACAACACGCCACATATCGATGGAGGACTTGATCAATCCTTGCCAGTTCACTGAATCTGCACCACGGTTCATGTGATTAGATGGATAAGAGCGAGGTGCACGACTAGTCGCGGGCAGGCTGGCCCGAATAATTAAACAACTCAAAACGCACTGGCCCAATACTCATATGAGTTGTTTCGAGTTGAGTTGCTCCTATTATCCAGCTCGATCCGACTGTGACTGCGAATACCAAAATTTAGCCAACATCCACCATCAAAGTAGACTTTGTTGATTTAAGACACTTGGGGGTTGAGTTGCTAGCTATCATCCAGCTCGGGCTGACTGTGATGGCGAATACTAAAATTAAGCCATCATGCATCATCAAAGTAGACTTTGTTTTGCGGGCATACCTCTCCAAACAGTCTCCATTATTGGGAATGATAATAATGAATCGGTCGCCTTCAGACAACAGCTACCTATTGACAGATGTGTCTGACAATTACATTGTGCCTACAACGAGCCTACGTAACTAGTGCTAGTTGACCTGAACGAGTCATGCCAACCAGGGCAACAACTAATAGTTCAAAAGATTAAGCAAGATCAGCAAGCTGATAACCCATATTGTGTAGTAATTAATTAATTAGCTCTGTCAAACGCAGCTGTCTGCTAGTGTTATTATGTTCAAGTTGTTGACAGTGACGAGATGTGATCCTCATCTCAGTTTCATTGTGCTGACATATAGCCATCACATAGATGTTGAGATAATAACAATATGTTTGATCATAGTATTTACAGTATGATCTCTAGACATATTTTTACACGTGAAATGCCCATGGATAGTCGAAGGCATCATGAACAATCTCCTGCTCGAGGAGGTTCCGCGGCATCCAACGTTACTTGAGATCCTCATCAGGGTTTGAAGAATGCTTGACGCCTAGGGTGCTGTTTCTTAACACAGATATATGGTGCCATCACCGTTCCTTTTTTGTTTCTCATTGCGTCCCTGCTGAAATTTCTGAGGTATGATCATTTCTTCATCAATGATTAGTTAAACTTAGTAGCAAAATTATAGCGTGCACGGCACGCGAGAATCTCTAGTGTGGTGTGCCGCTGGACGCCTGATCCGGCGACGCGCTGGGCGGAGGCAGCTGGGTGCTCTGTGTGATGGATCAGCGGAAAATTGATTACAATCTCCGAAATATAGAGTGTGTCGGTGCATCTTCATCCATCTCAATTAACTTCTAGAAACTGCCAGACCCCATTGGATCCTTATAACCACATTTATTCTGCCATAGTTCTACCGCCATCCCTGCATCCCGGTTATTAACATCAGTTTAAGTAAATTTATTTGATTAGTTTGTTGTGATGCCCGATAACATCCAGTGCATGTCAGCTCAAGACCCTGGGTGTAGTCGCGCATGCAATCTGTTGAATCTTTGCTTGACCTGATATTGTTCCTGTAATGTCGATTTCGAACTCTGTTTATGTAAACAAGAGTATGCACTTGATGGCTCATGAATTTGTAATTTAAAAGTTGTTGATTCTGAACAATTATTTATGTGGATTTTTGGTTCACATGAGTCGGGTTACATTTATAGTACATCAGTTATATGAAGTATGTGCTCAAGGTTTCAGTTTATTTTGCTTGTTGAGTTGTACATGGTCCATCTTGCCAGCCCTCCTTCTGTTCCAATCTGCATGTGGATATGGAAAGTTAAACTAATGGCTAAAAAGATTAAACAAGATCAGCAACATGACATCAGCCCATGTTTTTTTTCATGGTAATACGTGTCTCATTCATATCATAAAGATTAAAGTACAAGTCACGAAAGGAACGACATGACAAAATTAAAAAGATAGCAGATGTTATTTAATTAGTTAATTAATCCATTCAATGCAGCTGTCTGCTGCTGTTATTACTCCATTCAATGCCCCTCGTAGTCTCACGCCTTAATCATTCTTGTCCATTTCCACCCAGCTGCGCCGTCGCCTTTGGCCTTTCCACACGGAGGCGGCAACACAGCGAAGGTGGAGCTAAACTGCTGCTCTCGGTGCCGTCACCCTGGAGGGTTGGCTAAGCTGCTGCTCCCGGAGGCGACGCGTCGGACGAGGAGCTGAGCTTCCACTCCTGGAGGCGGCACGTAGGATCGAACGCATAGTCTCCGCTGATCGTCGGAAATCGTCCATCCGTCTTGGAGGTTGGTTACGCAATTCAAGTGTTATTTGTCTCTCTTTACAGCTATCTAGCTAAGTTTCCTGCTCACATTTAACATTACCTTCATTACTATTATACAGTAAAAATAGCCAGCAACAATGGCGATGGTGCTGAATGCATTCGCGTCCTACCTGGTGGACATGCTCACGCAGGTGGCAGCAGATGAGGTAGGGGCGATGCTCGATGTCTCGGGTGAGATCAACAAGATGGGCGACAAGCTCCTAGACCTCAAGAACTTCCTGGCCGACGCCGACAGGAGGAAAATCACCGACAAGACCGTCCAAGAGTGGGTGGGGCAGCTCAAGCATGCCATGTACGAAGCTACTGATATCCTCGACCTCTGCCAGCTCAAGGCCATGGAGAGTGGAGGATCATCCTCGATAGATGCAGGGTGTTGCAATCCCTTGCTCTTCTGTATGCGGAACCCCTTCCATGCTCATGAGACCAGCATCCGCATCAAGGCACTCAACCAGAGGCTCGACGCCATCAAGCAACGAAGCGCCACTTTTGGCTTCATCAATCTCATGTCCTATGAGGATCGTAGTGGCAATGCCCTTGCCACGCACTATGGTAATCCAAGTCGGGAGACGGTAGGGGACTTTGACCGGTCGGCTTTGGTTGGGGACAAAATCGAAGACGACACAAGAGCGTTGGTGACCCATATCATGCAGACAGGAAAGGAGGTCAACGATGGCATCATGGTGGTCGCCATTGTAGGTGTCGGCGGGATTGGCAAGACCACACTCGCTCAGAAGATCTTCAATGATGAGGCAATCGAAGGTGAGTTTAGCAAAAAGATATGGTTGAGCGTCAACCAAAACTTCAGTGAGGTTGAGCTGCTGAGAAGAGCCATCATCGAAGCCGGAGGAGACGCCCAACTAGCTGGAAATGCAAAGGCCACACTTCACCGAAGCCTCAAGGATGCCTTGATTGGCCACAAGACCTTGTTGGTAATGGATGATGTGTGGGACCATGTAGCATGGGAGGGTGTGCTCAAAGTTCCATTCAATGTTGCTGCTTCAGGCAGCCGAGTCATCGTCACCACTAGGGATGAAGGTGTTGCTCGAGGGATGATAGCTAGACGGCCCTACCACCAAGTCGACACATTATTGCCTGGAGATGCTTGGTCATTGCTCAAGAAGCAGGTATGTACTTGATTAAGCACTAATCTCTGCCTTGAGTCAATAATCATTGAAGTTAATTAAATACAATGCAGTTAATTAAGAGAAGACTTGTATGTACTATTAGCTCTTGGAAGGTAAGAGGTTGTCGGTAATTTTGCAGGGCTAATATTACTTTGCTAGTGTCAGTAAGGCATGCATGGTGCTAAACAAGGAAATGTACCAAAGCACCAATTGGGCTTTCCGCATTTGATTTATGCCAACTTGACACTTGTTCAGACACATTAGGTTTTGTTTAGCCGAGCTTGAGTAATAATTAGACATTCGGATAATTATATCTGTATCGTTATTACCAGTGAAGACATGGGTCCTATATTTAGGTAGCAACTAAGTTTTTGCCAATATCTTGTCTCATTTTCGAATTTACCGATGAAAGATCTAAGTGCTTAGCTACTCTACAATGTCATAGAATATAAAATAAATGAAAATTTATTTTAAGATGGTAAAAATAACAATTTCGGTGAACCTCTGCTAATATGACAAAATTATATATAAACAAAAAGTAACTATACTAGATGTTGGTTGTAGTTCTGCTAGAAAATGTGCACACAAATTTATTCATTAATGTATTATGTATTTCAGGCGATTGAGGGATAAGATAATTTCACATGACCTACGAAAACCAATAAAATAATATACAATTCGGCTAAATTTGGAGTACAACTTTGTATAACAGCGATGACAGAGTAGTGCAAAAGTATTTTTTAGCAATACGCTCCAGTTTGTATGTTAAGTATTTACCATCAATTCTACCTTGTACTGTACATTCGCAGGTACTCTCAGGTGAGATAGATGAAGAGCACATCAATACACTAACGGATATTGGATTGGAAATTATACAAATATGTGGTTGTTTACCACTTGCTGTTAAAGTAATGGGAGGTCTCTTGCGTGAAAGAGGGGGGCTCCGTCGTGAATGGGAGCAGGTTTTGGATGATTCCAAATGGTCAGTAACTAAAATGCCCCAAGAGCTCAACCACACAGTATACTTAAGCTATGAATATATGCCGCGTTATTTGAAGCAGTGCTTTCTATACTACTCACTTCTTCCTAAAAGTAAAGTTTTTCATATGGATGAAGTCATTGCGATGTGGATGAGTGAAGGATTTATTCATGGAAACTCTAGTGATTTAGAAGAATTGGGAAAAAACTACTACAAGGAGTTGATATCTAGGAACCTTATAGAGCTAGATAAATCATATGCTCATATATGGGTTTGTAGCATGCATGATGTTGTTCGCTCATTTGCTTAGTATATGACTAAAGATGAAGCGCTCGTAGCTCAAGACGGAGATAATGATATTCTTACAAAACTTTGTTCACAAAAGTTTCTTCGGTTGTCCATAGAAACTAACCGATCACAATCAGGTGATCTAGATTGGACATCTCTGCAGGCGCAACAATCGGTGAGAACATTAATCTCAACTATTCAGATCAAGATGAAGCCTGGTGATTCATTGGTTACCTTCTCAAGTCTACGAGTCCAATATATAGAAGCTGCAGATGTGGCTGCACTGGTTGAATCATTGCATCAACTCAAGCACTTGAGGTATCTGGCACTATTAGAGACTCATATTTCTGTACTCCCTGGGAACATTGGCAAGATGAAACTATTACAATTCCTTGACCTTCGTGGATGCACAAAATCGGTGAATCTTCCTGATAGCATCGTGATGCTTAGCCAGCTACAATTTCTTTACATTCCCAACATACATATGATACCTAGAGGGTTCCGTGGTCTGACAGACATAAGGAAACTAATTGGGTTTCCAGCCCACATGGATGGTGATTGGTGCAGTTTGGACGAGTTGGGGCCTCTTTCCCAACTCAAAAATCTTTTCTTAAATAAATTGGAAAATGTATCTGCTGCCTCATTTGCTGCTAATGCTAGGCTTGGTGAGAAGATGCATCTTATCGAACTATTCTTGTGGTGCACCAGCAGACTAGGAGACAATGGATTGATCAAAGAGAACCAAGGTGTCTCTGAAGAAGAGCAGTGACGGATCGAGACTGTGTTCGATGAGCTCTGCCCTCCTCCCAGTGTAGAGATTATTAATATCAAAGGGTATTTTGGCAAGCAACTCCCAAGGTGGATGATGTCCACATCAACGGTGCACCTCAACAACTTGATGATTCTATTTTTTTCTGACCTGGCTTGTTGCACACAACTTCCCAGTAGGTTGTGTCAGCTACCCTACCTGCAGTTTCTTCAGGTCAACCATGCTCCAAGCATCAAGCGTGTTGGGACTGAATTCTTGCAGGCAGTAGTAGCAGCTCCATTTCCAAGGTTAAACACTATGACCTTAAGTAAAATGTTGGAATGGGAGGAGTGGGAGTGGGAGGACCAAGTACAAGCCATGCCCCGTTTGGAGAAGCTACGGCTCATTAATTGCAAACTGAGGCATGTTCCTCCGGGCCTTGCCTCCAACACAAGGGCTTTGAAACAATTAACTCTACAATATGTCCAGCAGCTCTGCTACATTGGGAGCTTTCCTTCTGTTGTTGAGCTTACAGTGAATGGCTGCCCTGACCTGAAGAGGATCACCAATCTCCCAAATCTGCAGAAGCTTACCATCACAGACTGCCCGAAGTTGGAGGTGCTGGAGTGCATTGTTTCACTCGAGAGGCTGGTCCTGGAGGATTACACCATGGAAAAACTCCCAGAATACATGCAAGACATAAAGCCAAGGCATCTGCAGTTATTCTGCAGGCTATGGTTGCTCTATGCGGTAGCCGCAGGACAATCTAGCACCGAGTGGGACAAGTTCAGCCAAGTGGAGCATGTCAAGGCATATGCACGTGATGGAGACAACCAAAGAAAATGGTACGTTTTGTACACGAGAGGAGACAACTGCAAGTTGGATTCAAATATTAGCAGCTCGACCATATTTGAAGGTACAGAAAATCAAACATACAAGATTTGTCTTAGTTTGTTTGAGCACTTTTTCTGCCATATTATAAGTTCATTTGTTGACTGGATATATCCTGTACCTTCTAGTGCATTTTGCTAAGTATTTATCTTCTTGTTCTTCTAGGTTTTCTCGAGTTTAACATATCTAGAGTATCATCTAACCATTTTGTATTTTTGTTGCCCTGCAGAAACCTTATCATCTTGTATGGTAGACCGACGAGGATTTGAGTCTCTATGCAAAATGAGAAGAAGCACCTTCAGTTATGTCTGCAGCTTGGTGAGGATCTCATTTTTCGAAAATATGATGGCAAGGGAGCTCACCTTTGTCGATGGTAGAGTGTTGTCTTTACAAGATAGAGTGGCTGTCGCTCTGAGAATGCTGACCTCTGGTGAGCCTCCGGTTACCGTAGGATCCTCTCTTGGTGTGAGCGAGTCAACTTGCTTGCTGGTAACTAAGGTGTTTGTTGAAGCCATGCATGAGCCATCAGTGCACAACTTTAAATGGCCAGGCTCCTATCCAATGGAGAAGATCAAGCTTAAATTTGACAAGATACACGGCCTGCCAAACTGTTGCGGTGTTGTACATACAGCCCAAATCACGTTTGGATCGCAAGATCGTGACGGTGAGGGGAATGAGCCTGTGCTAATGCGAGCCATCGTTGATCCAGATATGAGGTTCACAAAGGTTTGGTTGGCTTCTGATCTCTTGGAGTTGGACTCTGGTCTCTTGAAGTACTATGAGGAGGATGTTGTGGTGAATGGAAGTAAGCTGAAGTTATCAGATGGCTCGGAAGATGGAGATTACATAATTGGTGATGCAGGATACCCTATTCATCCCTGGATCCTCACACCTTACCTATTAGAGGATGGTCTCTCACTCTCAGAGGCCAAAGTTGAGTTCAACAGGAGACATTTTGCAGTGACAGCTTTTGCGCTAAGGGCGCTAGCAAAGTTAAAAGACACATGGAAGTGCCTCCAGGGAGAAGGGTGGCATCCAGATAATGACATATTGAAACGGACAATCTGGGTATGCTGCAGGTTGCATAACATAGTGATAGACATGGAGGAGAAGGAGAAGGACGATGATCAGGAGGAAGGTGAGTATGAGGATGAGGGTCACGATGAGAGTTGCATCAGGCAAGTGCAGGTAGAAGATGAGGATGCTGTCGAGGTGAGGGGTGCACTCTCCCAGCACTTGATCAAGTCTGTAGGTAAATGTGCACCACTCTTTATATGTATTGGTTCGAAGACTTTGTTGTCAATTTATTTTACTTTTTTTGCCCTATTGATTCCTTCTTTCAACTGCCACAGAGGAGGAACAAGGAGCAGAAGATAAAAACAAGGAAGAAGAAGCTCGCCGACGACAAACAGCAGACCGAGGAAAGGAGAAAGTGCATGACAGCTACGTAGGCAGATCAGACCAAACTGCCATCTCCACAAAATCAGAATTTTTTGCTGGCTCTCATGTACTTCCCTTTGCGTGCAGGCCCTGTCTGGCAATGGAGGCAGAGTGATGCTGTGGCATGAATCAAAAGATGGACCAGGAAAGAAGAGTGTCGTGCATTGTGAATTATCGGCAGACTATTTCTATTGTGATTTGTATTTGCGTTTTTATGCGGTTGAGAGAACCCAGTAATTAATAATGTAGCTGCATGTGAGGAGGCTAAAGACTACTTTTGCTTGTGATTTCTATGCAGTATTAATTTCAGTTGGTTGCTGTAACCTGGAGGAAGAATCTGCAAGCAAAATAGCAGTGAGCAAGTCCTGCATGACATGTGTTTGGTCATGATTAGTTTGGGTTGTAGCATATATAGTGTTAAGCGCGTCGTGGACATGTCATTGTAGTATATGTTTGCTGTCGCAGTTTACATAAAAAGAGTCCTGTATGTTTATATACGACTCATCATCAGCGTGATTGATTCAGTTGTAAATTGGGGCTTTTCATTTGTGCTTTACTTTGAATTTGCTCAAGTGATGAGGTTGCTCTGTTTGAGGCTGGAGTATGGCAGAATTGGTGCGAAAGAAATAGTTCGGTGATAGAAGCACTGATGGGCCAACACTCAATGCAAAACTACGCCAAACAACCATGCCACCATCGAAACAACACTCAGCTAAATAACCATAATAAGAATTTACACTAATCCTCAAATAGTGGGTATGTGTAGGATCCAAAGTATGTCTAGAGGGGGGTGATTAGACTACTTGACCAAATAAAAATCTAGCCTTTTCCCAATTTTAGTTCTTGGCAGATTTTAGCAACTTAGCACAAGTCAAGCAATCTTAACACAATTCAAGCAAGCATGCAAAGAGTATATGAGCAGCGGAAAGTAAAGCATGCAACTTGCAAGAATGTAAAGGGAAGGGTTTGAAGATTGCAAACACAACAGGAGACACAGATGTTTTTGTCATGGTTCCGATAGGTGGTGCTATCGTACATCCACGTTGATGGAGACTTCAACCCACGAAGGGTAACGATTGCGCGAGTCCACGGAGGGCTCCACCCCCAAAGGGCCCACGAAGAAGCAACCTTGTCTATCCCACCATGGCCGTCGCCCACGAAGGACTTGCCTCACTCGGGTAGATCTTCACGAAGTGGGCGATGTCCTTGCCCTTACAAACTCCTTGGTTCACTCCACAATCTTGTCGGAGGCTCCCAAGTGACACCTAACCAATCTAGGAGACACCACTCTCCAAAAGGTAATAGATGGTGTGTTGATGATGAACTCCTTGCTCTTGTGCTTCAAATGATAGTCTCCCCAACACTCAACTCTCTCTCATAGGATTGGATTTGGTGGAAAGATGATTTGAGTGGAAAGCAACTTGGGGAAGGCTAGAGATCAAGATTTATGTGGTTGGAATGGAATATCTTGACCTCAACACAAGTGTAGGTGGTTCTCTCTCTGGAAAATATATGTTGGAAGTGTAGGCATGTTCTAGTGGCTCTCTCCACGAATGAAGAGTGGGTGGAGGGGTATATATAGCCTCCACACAAAATCTAACCGTTACACACAATTTACCAAACTCGGTGGGACCGAATCGTGAAACTCGGTCAGACCGATTTAGTTCATAATGTGACCGTTAGGCATTTCGGTGGGACCGACATGTCAACTCGGTGGGACCGATATCGTTAGGGTTAGGTCATAACGTAATCTCGGTGAGACCGATTACACAAACTCGATGAGACCGATTTTGGTAATAGACAAACAGAGAGTTGGTCAGGCAAACTCGGTGGGACCGATTTGCTCGAAACGTTACGAAAGGGAAACAGAGAGTTAGCATTGCAATCTCGGTGGGACCGATCGCTCATCTCGGTTTGACCGAAACGTTAAGAAGGGAAACAGAGAGATTACAATCCCATCTTGGTGAGACCGAGATCCCTATCGGTGAGACTGAAAAGACTAGGGTTTCTGGCAGTGGCTATGTCAACTAAACTCGGTGGCGCCGGATAGAAAGTTTCGGTGGGGCCGAGTTTGACTTTTGGTTTGGGACATATGTGGATGTGAGAAAGTAGTTGAGGGTTTTTGGAGCATATCACTAAGCACTTTGAGCAAGAAACTCATTAAGCAACACCTCACCCCCTCTTGATAGTATTGGCTTTTCCTATGGACTCAATGTGATCTTGGATCACTAAAATAAAAAATGTAGAGTCTTGTGCTTTGAGCTTGATCCAATCCTTTTGTCCTTAGCATTTTGAGGGGTCCACGTTTCTCATCCATGCCATGCCAAACATTGAGCTTTCCTGAAATATTTATCTTGAAATAGCATTAGCTCAATGAGCTATATGTTGTTAGGAATTACCAAAACCACCCAGGGATAGTTGCACTTTCAATCTCCCCCTTTTTGGTAATTGATGACAACATATAGATCAAAGCTTCGACAAATGATAATAAGATTGAAAAACATCGTCGCTTTGAGAAGTATGTGATAAGCAAAAGCTCTCCCTAAATTTGTGCATTATTTAAGATTTGCTTTTGAGTGCAAATGCACAATCGATTAGGATCATGGGTTACTCTTTCCTGAAAGAACTATGTGGTGCTTTGGCTCATCGTATGATGTATTCGCTTCCTTATCTGTTCATTTTCTCGGTTTGGTAGACATGTCCTTCACATAGAAAACCTGCTCCACATCATTGGCTAGGACGAATGGTTCGTCTATGTACCCAAGATTGTTCAGATTCACTATTGTCATTCCGTACTGTGGGTCTACCTCTACGTCGCCTCATGACAGATTGACCCATTTGCACTTAAACAAAGGGACCTTAAAATCATGTCCGTAGTCAAGTTCCCATATCTCCACTATATAACAATAATATGTGTCATTTCCCCTCTTGGTTGCTGCATCAAAGCGGACACCACTGTTTTGGTTGGTGCTATTTTGATCTTGGGCAATCGTGTAAAATGTATTCCCATTTATCTCGTATCCTTTGTAAGTCAAGACTGTCGAAGATGGTCCCCTGGACAACGAGTACAGCTCATCAAAAACGGTGTTGTAACCTCTAAGACGTGTTTCCAACCAACTGCCGAAAGTCCTGATGTGTTCACATGTAATCCTGTCATCACACTGCTCCGGGTGTTTGGAGCGCAGACTGTTCTTGTGTTCATCAACATACGGGGTCACCAAGGTAGAGTTTTGTAGACCTTCGATCTTCTCCTCAATTCCTTTCTTCTTCTCCTCTTCTTTTCTTCTTCTTCATCTTCATATTTTTTATCGGGATTGTCGTTGTTGATATACCCCCTCCCATCTACGTAACATTCTATATGTCACGTTGCCTTGTGTCAAGGTACTGAAGAAATCCATGGCTTCATCATTAGCCGGAAGTAACCGGGGGTATGATGGTACGAATTTGGAAGGCCTTTGCTGAACTTCATAGCAAAAGCGGATTATCCTATCCGGGGCTCCGTTCCAAAATAACCTTGAAGAGCTTCGTACGATCATGCGCCTGTTACTTTCGCCTAATGATGAAGCCATGGTTTTCTTGAATCCTTTGACACTAGATAAATGTGACATATAGAAAAGTAGATGAGATCAGGAAAAATAGGGATCCAGAATGGCGCCATTTTGTTAAATCCCTTGTTTGACATTCATGAGAGAGGCCGTCCGGACGTCAGACATTCATGGGAGATCTCCGGTAACTCTTCAACATGAGGGGGGACGTCGATCAACCCCCTCTCGCCCGACAAAACCCTAGAAGCGTCGAGGCCACCCCAAACCGTAGAAGTGTCGAGCTAGCTAGGTCTATGTTTGACACTAATATATCCATCTGTCATGTTTGTATATTAATTTCCATGTTGTAATATTTGCAGAAACTACGGAGCACCGAGACTTGGAAACAGAACAGTTGTTGGGGGACATAATCCTCGGCGGAGGTGATGTCATGTCGTATCTCAACGACACCGATGGTATGAAGGAGAGGGTGAAGGCTCCGGTGATCGAACAATGGAGGATGAAGGACATGATGATGATGTCCGTGATGACAGCTCCGGTGACCGAACGGAGAAGGGAGGTGTTGCAAAGTCCGGCGAGGTACATATATTAATTAAGCCTGTGCTGACTAGCTAATTGATGTATTAATTGTTTTGGTATGTACATATATTAACTCTTCTTCTTGATGTGTGCAGGTTCGAGGAAGACTAGCTAGCCGTCCCTGTTGATGGCCTTCACCCTACTGCTCAGCTTGGTAACACCAAATTGCGTGTGTGCACGTGGATGCAACACAGGTCCTTCATGGCATTGAAAGGGACAACCACAGACTAAAATATGTGTTGTCATATATCAGTGTGTATCTTATATTGTTGGCAGTAGTAAGCTTTTGTGATCGAGGAAACAATTAATACTGTAGCTGCATGGAGACTAGGATACTATTTGTGGTTTATATCTGCGTGTCGTAACCTGAAGGAAGAATATGTGAACATAATCGCAATGAGGGACAGAATGAGTCGTGTAGGGTCAGGTGTTTGGGAAGAGTGGATTCTCGTAGTCGATTCTCGATTGGAGTTGTTGTTAGGATGTCTCGCTGTGTTGATATTTATAGGAGAAGATAAGAGCAGAGTGGGGACTGGGGAGATGATCAATGAATTGTGTGTGTGTGTGTGCGCGCGCGCGTGTGTGTGACAGTAGTTCAAATGATAGGCCTCTTTGTGCTGCATTTTGCATTTTGAGTGATGTCCCAAGCGATTGCTGACCCGCTTTTGGTTGCCTGGACCTAGCTGAGGTAAATTGAATTGGGGCAAGTGTTCCAAAATACTATAGTTTAATTTGCGCAAGTCGGTTTGCTCTGATTCCTAGCTCCAATTGAATTGGGGCAAGTGTTGCCTGGACCCGCTTTTGGTTGATTGGAGTAGCATCGCTTTATAAATTTCCTCGTGTTGGTTCCTCCTCTGAATCTGAAGGTAAACTGTTAATTTCCTCTGAAGGTAAACTGGGCAAGTGCTTCCATGTTTTAATTTGTTCAGGACAAGAGGTTGATCAGTTCAGTTAGCAGTAGATTTTGTAAAATTTACTCATTCCGATTCCCTGCATCTTGAGTTGCCATAATGGTAAGTAATTGTTCGCTTTTCCATTCTCTTGTGTTGGTTCTTTCAATATGCCACTCGTCAGTGAGAATCATATTGTTTCAAATCATTCAGAAAGCAACTA